ATTGTGGTGCTTCCTGTGGTGGCCCTGGACGTGCTCGTCATTCTGCCAGTAGGGGTTGTTTTTATTTCTTGGGGGCTGCTGTAGGGAGTACTTGATGGTGCTGGTGTTTGTGTTGCTATGGTGGAGTTTTCTGTAGTTGAGGATGTGGTGGATAAGTTAGTCATGATGGTTGTGCCTCGTGTTGGTGGGGCAGAGGTACTGAAGACCACTGTGGTGCCAGCAGTTGTTGTTCTTTCTACCTGGGTGAGGGTGGACTTAGTAGTCGGTGATGTTGGAGTCTGGGTTGCCACAGTGGTGATTTCTGGTGGAGTTGACGTGGTCTGGTAACCTGTTGTTGAGACTTGTGATGTCCTTGTTGTAACTGAATTAAAAGAAGGAAATAAGTCTTTTTTGTTTTTATTAAAGAAATAACCACCAAAAAATTATTCATCTTCCATACATTTTAATGTTGTATGTAATATGTATGTTAACATTGTGTTTTAATTTGTCAGTCTTGAATTTCATTTCTCAGGTAGGTTTTCATCTCAAGTCTATATTATTTTTCTAGTGGCATTTTATGTGACATTTATTAAAAAATTGTAGGTAGCTATAACTAATATGGTATCCTTTGTGTGCAATGTGAATACATAGGATAATGTGATCTCAGAATTGCTATGGTGTAAGTAAGAGGAGGTTTTATTCTTCTTAGTACTATATCTGTACTTATTTACACTTAACTACATAACAACAGTTTTTAAAATATTTTTACAGATTAATGACTTTTCTACTTATTTTAATATTATAACATGTAATATATTTATAAATATAGAAAATATATTTAACACATGTATTTTGTATATAATACATTCTAATATAGAATATCCATATACAATATAGATGAAATACATAATCTAGTAAGTATTTTCTACTTATTTTAATAAGATTTCATATTTCTAGCATTATGAAGATAACCGTGTGGAATATATACCACTGTCTGCATATGAATGTTATTTAATAGAATACTTGAAGCTGAATATTCAGTTCTTGCTGTAGTATTGTATAGTTTTACGGAAACTTCTGTCATAGTTTCTCAGAATTACATGGTCACTATAATGAGCTAACTATAGGAAAAACGTAGATGTGTACTTCAGGAGTAGAAGGAAACTGTTAATTTGATTATTAAATACAAATAGGAAAGGTTCCAAATAATAGTTTTAAATAATTTGAGCATTCCCCTGAACTAGATTTCTTAGCTTTGGTTTGCGCTAATGTGGTCAGTAATTTTAAAAATGGCAGTTAGTTGTCTTTTGGGTTTTCAGAAGTTGGTCTAGAATTGCTGGGTTTTGTTTGCAAGGGAATGAGGAGATTCTCCAGGGTGCAATGATTAATAAGCTCTACCAATTTTTTCTCCTGGAAAAACCATGGGGAAACAGTGGAAACTGAGTTTATAAGAAATGCTGTATTCATTTCTACATCCTTGATTACGGTTGTCTTTAGCAACTGAAGCTGCTAGAAGAATTGTTGGCTCCAGCAGAAGTCAACATTTTCAAGTAAAATTATATGCCATTAATTGATGAAAAGGCCCTCCCTTTCAGGCAATTTTCAGTCCCTTCCAGAGATTTTTCAGTTATTTTAAAGGGTATTCATGCATACCTGAAACAGTAGTTGTGGGCTGACTTGTAGAAAATGTAGACGTGGGTTGTGTATTGGTGCCACATTCAAAGATATTTCTGTCTATTGTTCGATTGACGTCGCATATTGCACTGAAGCACCATCCAGTTCCATCTGTGGTGGTGTAGATGAGTTCACCATATTTATAGCGCTTCCCTTCATAAATGCAATGGCATGCTGTAATTCAGAAGTTTATTGTCAGGTATCTATGAAAAGATAATATCCAGTATTTCATTTTCTTAACAATTCTTCTTAGCTGTCTTACCTTTATCATCAAACTTGCACTGCAAACCTTCTGATGTGCATTCACTGAAATAAAAAACATAAAAAAGCACATATTTTTGATTATGAGGTAATTTTATTAGTCATTTTTCTGTCAGACACTAGCATCAAGAGACAGGACACTTTATTTATATTTATTCCTGTTCATGTTGGCTTCTTTTTTTTGTCATTGTTTTCCAAAATATTTCTTTATATTAAACCCAAACTTATAAATAGAAGAGAAGCTAAATATTATGCAAAGCTACAGGTAGAAGTCTTAACGAAGACTTTTCTTCTTTCCTTCTTATCACTTTCCTTGCACTTGCAATGTTTTTGTACTAAAAAGGCTAAAAAGGAAAAAGAGTCTAAACACTACAAACAGTGTAAGAATGTAATAAAATCCTTGGAAGTAGACCCCATTAGATATCTGTACTCCTGGAACAGTATTTCTCCTGCATAGGAATGGGAAATAGAGAAAGCTTGGTCATAAAGGCTTTACTGTTCTTGTATCTTTATGCTGAGGATGTACAACATAATCAGGAATGAATTCAACAGAACATAAAATCACATTCAGAACTTCTTACTACTAATGTAGTAAGAAAACTGGCATTAGATAGTAAGGCATTATTTTCACACAGGCAGCATAAACTAGTCCTGTCATGTAACAGGAACATGCAATTTCCCACTGCTGTTTTGATTGTTTTTCCTTGTACACAATTAGGTTGTTATGTTAAGTCTTACCATAACTGACATTCATCCCGTCTATATATCTTTCCATCTTCATTATCATAACAGTCACAAAGACGAACGCACTTCATCTGATCCTCATGAAAATATGGTTTGTCTGGTGGGCAGTTAGGGTAGCAGCCTGAAGGAAGGAAAAGGGCATATAGAAGGTAGAAAAGGTGAGAATGGGATACAGTCAGCATAAGTTTTATTTGTGTGGAATGTGTTTGCAGGTCTTGTTTTTAATAGTCAGAATTTTTACTACTTAATTTTTTCCAATAATTTTAGGAAGTAATGCAGAGGACTAGCATCAGAAGAGCTCACCGACAAGGACTTAGTGGCTTAATAGACATCCCAGAGATGTTTTTAACTCCGATTTCCGTTCTCTGTGGATACATTCATGTGGATACAATGATGTTGCAGAGAATTGAATGGTGGAAATGCAGCCGACGTGGGAAATACACTCCATTAAAGACCATTAAAAATATAATAAAAAGTACTCACTTAAAGGTACTTTCAGCTCTTTTTACCTTCTAATCCTGGCAAGTTATGGAGGCATTTTCCACTTGGGTTCCTACAGGTCTTCATACAGGAGGCTCCACAAGGCTTATAGTGCCATTCACATTCCCCTTGTTGGTTGTAGTAATCACAGAACATTGCTAAGGAGAAAGAGAAATTTGGACATGTTCAGAAAAAAAAATGAGCTGTTTTTGACTCATGTCTGTTCATCATATCCCTGCAATGCTGCTTGAACAGTCTGGAAAACCATGACTGAATAGGTGAAATCGTGTGACCATCAAACAGCTTAGTGTGAAAAGTCTACACAGTGAGATGATAGTGCACATACGTAAGATACCCAGAGTGTGTTCAAGGACATCAGCAAGGCACTGTACATTTAACTACACTCTCAGAAGAAGTGTTTATGACATAAAACTCACGACAGATTGATGGGGTTCTCCAGGCTATGCAGACACCAACTTCACTGCATGCTTGAGCATAGGCAGCTACTGCTGTACAAAAGCAATCACAGTCTCCTCCAGTGTCACATGCACAAGCATCTGTCACACATGCTTGGTAATATTTTGCTGGTTCAACCTGTTATTAAAAAGGAGTATAATGCTATACATCCTGACTTCTAAATTTTTTCTTAGCTTTGCTAGGGTAATTTTGTTAAAATTGTAGTATCTCAGAAGAAAGGCCTACATCAGTAATTTATTTTTCTTTTGTTTATATGCACTGTTAAACCCAGAGGTGATGCCAGATGACACATCCAAATCACGTATTGACAGATTTTTATACACCCAGACTTGTGTCCTAGTGGAAGATTAGATTCATGTTCCCAAGTAATATGGGGCAACGGCACTTGAAAATGTCGGTCTCTGCGACTGGAAAGAACTAAGGTAACAGGAAGAGGACAGAGTTACCCTGCATTGTTTGGTATGAACTTAGTGTCAGATAGAGGCTATGCTAATACTTCATTACTATGTTATTATTTCATTGAGCTTGGGGTTTGTACACAGTATACGAGAATTTCTATTCAAGTCACACTACAAGAAAATACGTAGTAATTACAAAATTATTATTCTTTCGTAATAGGTCAATATTTCCTATGAACCAAATGTCCTTTTATCTCTTACAGGTAGGGACTATAAGTCTGTCCCATTAAGTGGGATTCAGATTGAAGTTTTTCTGACACAATTCAAAGTGAAACATGCTAATGAATTAGGCATGCATGTTACAATGTATGAGGGTAGCAGCTTCAATAATACACAGACCTAGTCTTCACACAGTAAACTTCTGCTTTAGTAATACCTGAGAGTGACAGGCAGCAAAGACGTTGCTGTTGATGATGCTACACTGCTTCTCTGACCAGGACTTTCGATAAGGGTTGGTAGAACATGGGTCCTTTACGCTGGAAGCATCAGGACATGTAGAGGATACTTTCCAGCTGTTTCCAAACTCTAGGACATTCTCTACCACAGACTGACTCCTTGTAGTAAAGTCATTGATGCCATTGCCATCATAATTTCCACAGAGGCCGCAGATCTGGCCCTGTAAAAGGAAGTGAGTAAAATAATAATGGATGTGAGAAAACTTGAAACAACATCTGAGACTGAAAGAATACTTGAAATTCAGCTCTTAGAATGGTGCCATTCCATTCTAACATTCCTGAACATCTTCATGGTTTGTTTCCTCAGCAACAGAACACAACCACTAAGGCTAGAAAGATACTGCTATTGACTTTTCTTCTTTTAAATCTGAACAATAAAACCATCTTTGTCATTTTAACTTTCTGTCTTTGAGGTATGGTTTTAGTTAGGAAATGAGGACTCACAGCCGACTAAGCTTTTCATTTAAGCCTTGTTTTATACAATAGATGTACATATAAAAAACAGCCTTACAAAGCTGTCATAAATACTACCAGTCCAGCCACATAGCCTTTACATTAAGTCTTTACTGTTATGACTGCTCACAGGTATAAAAACAAATTACATTTTCCTCGCACATCCAGAAATATCCTTAATTCTAAATTTATAGATATGTAAAACTGTGATAGGCTACAATAGATGCTATGTTTTCCTCTATGAATCTAAGGTGCATACTTTCCATATTACTACTATTTTTATAAAGTGCCAGTGGGTGAGGCAGCAAAAGAACTTATGATACTGAAATAAATTTGTATGTCTTGTTCTAAATTACACTTAATTTATATACCTAATTGAAATGTCACTGTGGTATACAATAAGATAGCAAATTCCTCATTTACTACAGTTTTTAGTACTTACATAACATAAACTAGGAGAAGGAGTATAACAACAGGAATATATTTTCCTTATCACCTGTGCAGATATATACTTGAAAAATACATGGTAGCATTTTACAAAAGGCTTTCACTCATAATATTTCACTTCGTTGTTCTTAAAATACGATAATTTGATTTATGTGTCAATGAGAACTGGAAACAATGGATTAATTTCAAGATCAAGACTACTCAATTGATTTCTACACATGCCGCTATGTAATTTTAATAAGGTTATAACCTTTACCAAGGTTCAATGGGCAATTTTAACAAAGTCAAGTCCAAAAAAGCAGTTTGCCAACACAAGTTCCATCAGGTCAAATAGGCACTGAAAGCCGCCTTCAGAGCTCAGAACAGTAGCAGGATCACAACATGGCTTCCTGAAGCACCCAAGTAATGAAAAACAACATGGGATGTCCTTCAGGAATGCTAGAAACATCACCTGTTTGGGATCTTGGCAGGTTCTCAACAAACTTCATGCCCAGTTCATATCTGGACTGCAAACTGCCATTTAACTGCTAGTTCCGCACCTTAAAATCAGCGCTGAGCTTGATGAAGATGCTGGTTTTCTTGTCCCACATGAGGATCAGTCCGCTTGTGGTCTCAATTACCAAGTACATACCCATATAGCGGACTGTATATGGCACCTCATCATTTTGTCCTCTCTTTACAACACTGACATGCTCCTCACCAAGTATCAGTTCATAGCTCTGAAACAGGAGGAAAAAGTGATTAGAAATGAACTCAATAGCTGCAGCTGTGCTCTTAAGCATGTTTTTCTGCTTTTAAGAGTACTACAAATAGTTTATATAAGGAAAACAAATAATCCAGATGTGATAAATCAAAACTATATAGTTCAAATCCTGGAACTGTGGTAAAAAGATATTTTAAATGGCGTAGGTCAAAAAAGGGTGTTTTGGCAGTCATGGAGGAACTACATTGCACAGAATAAAATAATCTATTGACATGCTAGGCTAAATTTCTGCTAAAGGCAATTTTCAGGTAGATCTGTAGTTTGCCCAAGAGTGGTATAAGATAGAGTGGGAAATGGAAAAGATAGAAAGCTGGGAAGCTCTACCAAATGTTTCACCTGAATCTGATTTAAACTTAATTTGCAAATTCATTTGCTTTTTTAAATATTTTTCCAGCTTCCTTGGATCAATGGATATCTAGGTTTCTCCTAAGACCTAAACAGATACAGAACAAAACTGGTCTATATGCAAAACCTTCTTACCTCTAAGAAAACTTTGATAGATTTTGCGCAAGTTGTCCCAGTGTTGCCGCAGGGAATATTTTCAGTGATAACCCTGAAGGTCCAATTGGCTGTGCCACTCTTCCCACAGTGGTCCTGGGTAGAGAAAAACATTTTAAAATATATTATTTTTGTAGACACGATCAAAGTTATGTCTCATTTACTATTGCTAATTATCAGTACCTGGACTAGTGTGTATTCACAGTTCCCATTGAAGCTGAATCTTTTGTCATCAAAAGTATTATAATGACCATCTCCATAAATAGCACAAGTGCCCAGACACTGATCTTTGGTGCACTCCCACTTCCTATTTTTGCATATACTAGGAATGAGAATAAAACATTTTAATAATAAAGCAACTCACTGTTTCATGTAGACATATCCCAGCAACTCAGTATTTGTTTGGCAACTCATCCCTGGTAAACGTTATATTGATTCTGGAGTTAAAATTGTCTTTTGCACTTTTCATGTAAAGAATTAAAGCAAAGTTCTGCTCTGCTACTCTGAATTAGCTGCAAGTAGGATAATACTTAATGAACACTGTAGTCCCAAAGATTTCCTTTCATCCTGTGCTTTGGCCATCTACCTACATCAGAAGGAAACCTGCTCATATTGTTTAATCCAAAACTAAACCATCCATCAATGGATGAAATGTGCAATCCAAATCTTTCCTCATTGCTTTACTATTTAAGATCTTTGGGAAAGCAAATGATGGAGCCAGAACTACTACTTCCAAGGGAATATTTACCAGGTGTTACAGTCAACGTTGATCTTTTCCCCAGGCTGATACATGGCTTCATTGTGAATACACGGACATTCCTCTTCAGGAATACAACCACCATTCTCATCTAACACAAGTCCAGCTGGGCACACACAGCCAGATATACATTGTGTGCTATACTGGAAAAGCAAAGAGGAAGAGATAATAATTTCAGAATGAAGTAATCACAATAGAAAAAGGAAGACTAAATTCTCATAAAATATCTTTATATGGACTTATTGCTGCCAGCTTAAATGGGAGGGGACTACAAAGTACTTACAGTACAATGGAACAAAAAGGCAGTTATTAGCCATTGATTTAATAGAATATAAATCTGTTAAAGATAAATGTTTTATGTATTCCAATCCTGATTCCTCTTGCTAGAGTCTATGAAATTTGAAATACATTGCTCTGTGTTAGCTGAAGAAGCCTTGCACTTTGTGATTTGTGATTGGATGGAGCTTTAAAAAGAGAATCAGTCATTTTTTTTTTCAGTTTGGTTGAGTTACATTGAAATCTGTTTATCTCATATGGTACTTATTTACAGAAAGGTATGTGGCTACCATGCACGTAGGTGGAATGATATAATTAGATGTGCAAGAAGTTCACAGTTGCATCATGGTATGAGAAAGAATGATTTCTCCTAGCCGGTTTATAGCCAGTAATTTTATCCTAAAGAAGTAAAGTGTGTGGCAGAGCCCTAGATATTTTCACCACTAATTACTACTACCTGCAGTAGCTGAAGAAAGGTAGACACTAATCTTATTAATTAAATTGGATGTTACTTTATTATATTTTGGTCTAAGGCTCCCATTGTTAATGCTTCATAACATGGTTTTAGGCTTTTGCTACAAGAGCACAGTATCTGTGTTGTAGATTTGGAATAGATGAGATAGATCAATTATTTTAGCACCAAGAGCACAGACAAAACCTGGAAGCACCATTTCATCCAGCCATGACATACTTACACACTGCATATCCAGAGTCTGGCAACTTTTTTGACATTCTGCTCCAGTTGTTCCTGCAGTGATCTTTCTACAGTCGAAATAGACCATGGGAGATTCACAGACTAGAGGAAGGGAAGAAGTGAGAGCAGTAAGAAATGGCACAGGATTTATCCCACAGCTGTAGCCATTAAAACCATCTAGAAATTCTTCAGAAATTGCATATTTCTGTTAGTAGGGATTGCTATCCCTATCCAATCTGCTAAAAAGATTCACTTCAGAGCACTGAATTCCCAGAAAAAAACATAGCATTTCAGAAGAAAAAAATCTCTATGAAAAAGAGGTCTTGTCATTAATCTAGGTTCACTCCTGCCTTTTATGATAACTGTTGTGCTGTAACTAAATGAGAATTACTTCTATTATTTAAAAATCCATTAAGAAAAATCAATTCTATCAATTATTTGTGTCCAAAACCCGGCACAGGGAAAAACATAAGTGGAAGATTCTTTTTTTTTACCTGGAGGTGGATTGAGTGCTCCATTACAATTCAGTCTTCCCTGGATGCAAGTGCTGTAAGAGAGGGAAAAACATTTTCTTTTTCCCTCTTAAATAATATATTGAGTCTGAGAGCTACTTCTCTCTTGTCAAGTTTCAGAATTTTTGAAGGAATTCCAGAATACTGTTTCACAGTCTCAGGAAAGAATTTCCCTCAATACCACTACCAGTACTGCTTTCACATGATATCCATTATTACTTAACAGGAAAAATCATAGGTTGAAATGAGTATATATCTCTGCTTGCTACTTACTTTCTCATAAGATCTCTTCTTCGTGGTGGCGTCATAGTTTTATGCTTGAAAAACCATGGGATTAAATAGAAAATGCACCTAAATACAATTGCTCTGTCAATCTGGAAATATCGTAGAATCATTTAGGTTGGAAAAGACCCTTAAGATCATTGGGTCCAACCGTTAACCTGACATGGCCAAGTCCCCCACTAAATCATGTCCCTAAGCAGCACACCTACATGTCTTTTAAACACCTCCAGGGATGGAGACTCCACCACTTCCCTGAGCAGCCTGTTCCAGTACTTCACAACCCTTTTGATGAAGAAACGTTTCCTAACATCCAATCTAAAACTCCCCTGGCACAGCCTGAGGTCATTTCCTCTTCTTCATCACTTGTTACTTGGGAGAAGAGACTGACCCCCACCTGGCTACACCCTCCTTTCAGGTCGTTGTAGAGAGTGATCAGGTCTCCTCTCAGCCTCCTCTTCTCCAGGCTAAACACCCCCAGCTCCCTCAGCCGCTCCCCATCAGACTTGTGCTCCAGACCCTTCACCACCTTCGTTACCCTTCTCTGGACTCGCTCCAGCACCTCAAGGTCTTTCTTGCGAGGGGCCCAAAACTGGACACAGCACTCGAGGTGCGGCCCCACCAGTGCCGAGTATAGGGGGATGATCACTGCCCTGGTCCTGCTGGCCACACTATTTCTGATACAAGCAAGGATGATGTTGGGCTTTTTGGCCACCTGGGCACACTGCTGGC